GGATTTCAGACCAATTAGTTTGGTGGGTGCGGTTTATAAGATTATTGCAAAGATTTTGGCTAATAGGTTAAGGAAAGTGATGGATGGCGTCTTTTCGGAGTTTGAAAATGCATTTGTGGGAGGAAGACAAATTCTTGACCCGGTTCTTATTGCTAGTGAATGTATTGATGCAAGAGTTAAGAGTGGTGAACTGGGGATTGTGTGTAAATTGGACATAGAGAAAGCATATGACCATGTGAATTGGGTGTTCTTATTGTATGTGTTGGAGTGGATGGGTTTTGGTACCAAATGGAGGGGGTGGATTCATCAATGTATTTCGACCGCCCGGTTTTCTATCTTAGTAAATGGGTCTCCAGCAAGTTTCTTTGCGAGTTCGAGAGGTTTACGTCAGGGGACCCATTGTCCCCTTTTCTATTCATTATTGTATTGGAAGCCTTTAGTAGACTCATGAAAAGGGCAGAGGTTCTGGGCTTTATTCAAGGTTTTGTAGGGGGTCGTGTGCCAAACCAGATTGTTACATCTCATTTACTATTTGCTAATGACACTATTGTGTTTTGTGATGCGAGTGTGAATTAAGTGAGATACTTGAGGTGTGTTTTAGCCTGTTTTCAAGTGGTTTTGGGGTTGAAGATTAATACTGGGGAGAGTGTGATTGTTCCAGTAGGGGATGTGGATCATATTCATGAGTTGACAGCTATTTTGGGTTGTGGAGTGGAGGCTTTTCCTTTTTCTTATTTGAGGCTGCCATTGGGTGCTTCCTCGAGGAGAGTTGCTGTTTGGGATCAAGTGGTAGAACGTTTTCAAACGAGGTTATCTGGGTGGAAAAAGCAATACTTTTCGAAAGGGGGTAAACTTACATTCTTGAAGAGTACCCTATCTAATCTTCCTGCATATTTCATGTCTTTGTTTCCAATCCCTAAAACATTGATTGGTAGACTTAATAAGATTCAGGGGAACTTTATTTTTATTTATTTTTTTTTGGGTGGGGGGGTGGTTGTTTAAGTACCACCTTGTGAAATGGGAGAAAGTGTGCACTTCGATTCGAAGAAGAGGCTTGGGAATTCGCAAGTTGGAAATGTTTAACAAAGCTCTGCTAGGGAAATGGCTATGGAGATTTGGGTGCGAAAGGTCCATGCTGTGGAGGCGTGTTATTGCTTGTAGGTTTGGGGAAAAGGAGGGAGGTTGGGTGTCCTGAGGTGTGAATGCTTGAGTAGGTATGGGGTCATGGAAAGGTATTAGGAGGGGGTGGGACGAATTTTCTAAGCGGATACGGTTCCGAGTTAGGGATGGTCGTAATGTGAGGTTTTGGATGGATGTTTGGTGTGGGGATGTGGCGTTGGTTTGTAGGTTTCCTAGACTTTATAGGTTGGTTGAGGAAAAGCATGCGGTGGTGGCAGATTACTTTAGGTTAGAGAATGGGAGAGCTTGTTGGGATGTGAGATTTCGCAGAAATTTTAATGATTGGGAGGTGTTGGAGTTTGCCGAATTAATGGGATTAATTTATAGTCAACTGGTGGAGGGGGAAGGAAGGGATGAGATGGTGTGGATGGGAGATTCTAGAGGGGTGTTTATGGTGAGGCTGTTTTATAAAAGTCTTACGAATTCGATAAGCTACGGGTTTCCTTGGAAGGCTGTGAGTAGGACTTCAGCTCCAATAAAGGTGGCTTTTTTCACGTGGACAGTGGTGCTTGGCAGCATTCTTACTCTGGATAATCTCAGAAAAAGACGCCAAATAACAGTTAATTGGTGTTGCATGTGTAAGAAGGCGGGCGAGTCGGTTAATCATCGCTTGCTTCATTATAGAGTGGTAGCAGTTGTTTGGAGTTTGGTCCTGAATATCTTTGGAGTGGAATGGGTAGTGTCAAGTAACATGATGGATATGTTAGATGCTTGGAGAGGGAGACAAGTGGAAAGTCGGGTTAGGAAGGCATGGAGGGTTGCATCTCTTTGTATTTGGTGGGGGTTGTGGCATGAGAGGAATAGGAGATCTTTTGATGGACAGGAGTCGCCGGTGTGGGTTATCAAGGCAAATATTTTGCATTCTCTTTATTCTTGGGTTAATGGGAAAAATCGCCTATCTGTAGATAGTTTTTTGGATTTTGTTGACAACTTATCGTTGTAATGACGTTTTTTGCATTTTTTGATTGTTTTGTTAAGGGTTCGCTCCCCTCTGAGCGCGTTTGTTAATATACTTTTACTTATCAAAAAAAAAAAAAAAAAAAAAAAAAGATGCCTTGGTGGACGAAATGCATGTTGTGGTGGAAAAATATGGGTACGTATTTTTCCCAACAAACCGGTTACATTAAGTCCTACAAGAACACGCTCAAGTCTACCGGTCTGTTAGGATGCAAGCTGCATACATCACTGCACTTCCACTTGACACCTATTGTAATGATAAATGGCTCATCTCGCCGTGACTTTCTTTCCACAGAGGTAAATCTTTTCCTGCTAGGCCAGAGGATAGCAAGTTAAAAATTCTGTCTTGGTAGGGCATGTATTTCTATTACTATGAAATTCATAAATGAAATAATTAATGTTGGGGTTACCATTATCTTTTTTGTGATTTGGCATAGGGTACCAAAGAGATTGGCAATTGGAATGATATCAATTCCTATTTATTCATTATGGTTTCCATTGGTGCAAATCCAATCCCCTCCATTTTAAATGAGAAGCAATTCCCCGTTGGTAGCAAATGGTTATCCATTGAGCGGGTGAAATCCTATTTAAAATTAAAAAAACAGAAAGATTAGGTTCTAAGTTAATGCCATATAAAACGGATTTCGGTTATAGTTTTCCTTTCGATAGTTCGGGACGAGGCGGTACTTGTGATATTTTGGCATTTTATTTAGCGTTTTTCTTCCTGAATTATTTCCATACAATCGGTTCTTTTTCCCGAATTTTTAGGCCTTCCAAAAGGTAACGGAGGCGTGCAAAGGTTTCCACAGCCGGACGGAGATTGGCCCTTGAGTGCAAAGGCAGAAGGTTCCATCTTGATAGAGAGAAAAATAAATTAATTAAATTAAAGTTTTTCCTTTGGCCCAATAATCGGTTCAAAAATTTATCTTGTATGAATCGTTATTGGTTTGATACCAATAATGGAAGTCGGTTCAGCATGTTAAGGAAATCTATATCTATCAGATCACGACTTCATGTACCAAATATTTCCATATCGACGCATCTGATAGTTTTGTTCGTACAATGTAATGGAGAATGGATGTGAGAAAGAGACTTTACGATAGGAACCCCCAACTCTCTAGCAAATACAGCCCTTTTCATAATTTCTTTGCATTTACGTTCTTTCAAAATTGACTATTTGTCCCTCTGTTAGAAGTGTTCCAGAAATGTCTATCTGAAGTTGGAACAAATTACTATAATTTGTCCCCGCCTATGGATTAGGCGACATTTTTTGAAACTTTTACAAACAGAAGCCCTTATTTTCATATTTGCTTCATCTTAATTGTTATTTGAAAAAGTAAAAGTTCTGTCTTGGTCTGAGGGGGGATTGCATTTCTCTTCAATCTCTCTTTCAATTTGAAAATCCAGGATTTGAATTGATGTCCTTTCATTGATTTCTCCTAAATTGCATTCAGAAAAGAATGATCATTGTCAATCTCAAAAATCTGATTCTTAATATCAAAATATATGGAATAACTGTCCCCATTATTATCCCTAACTAAAGAACCTAAAGGAGCATGGGTCATAAATTCTGCGGAATGCCGTTCTTGCCAAGGTTGTTTGTCTTTTTTCCTGAGGAGGTTCTACACCGTGGAAATGCTCTTTAATGGAACTTTAGCTTTATCCGGTCTGTGACCGATTTCCCCTCTTTTGCAGTCAGTTTCACTCCAACACCCGCTGCTCTAGCTAATTGTCCACCCTTTCCAAGCACATCACAAGCTAAACACGTGCTAACGAATAACCAACCCGCAATGGTGAGGTTCAAATGAGGAAAGGCTTACGGTGGATACCTAGGGACCCAGATTAGATTTATGCCAGGAGAATTAGTAATGTGTCAAGAGAAATTGGTACAAGAAGCCGTGGATACACTTCTTGATAACGGAATCCGCGGACAACCAATGATGGATGGTCATAATAAAGTTTACAAGTCATTTTCAGAAGAAGCCCCACTCCTATAATCCTATTAACATGGGAACTAGAAGTGGAATCAAAGTTATGATTCACGCATATTGATATGTATGTTCCATAAAAAATTAAAAGTAATTAATTGTTTCCAATTCACCAAATCTTACCTTTTTCGAAAGGATTCAATTAAAAAAAAATAAAGATATGCACTAACTTAAACTAATTTAAAGAGAATTTTGAATAACCTGTCCTTCTCTCTTTGAAACAAGGGGCGCTTCCGGTTTTGTCGGTGCTTGAAACTTATTTAAATGTTCCTGCTGTTCTATACTTCCTTGAAAAAGGCACTCAACCTACAGGAACTGTTCATGATATTTTAAAGAAGGTGAAGGTTCTTAAGGAACTTCGTTCTAATCAAAAAAAGAATTCAATTAATTAAGGAAAAATAAAATAAAACAAGGGAGAGAGTGGTGACTCGTATATAGTTTTGTTTATCATTTTTTGTCCTATTAGTGGATAGAAGGGAAAGAAGAGGAAATTTTTACCATGATTGTAATTTTAGAGAGATGTGAAAGCGAAAGCCTATGGGGTCGTTTCTGTAACTGGATAGCACCGAAATCCGTCTTTACATCGGATGGTTTGGTGTTTTAATGATCACTACCTTATTAGAGAACTTATATATATACCTATATATAAAGAGAGATTCAAAAACTCGGTCAAAGTAAGAAAGAGGATTGTATATTTGCATAATTTGTATAGCAGAGCAATATTTTATAGTTAAAACTATTATTAGGTTTAGATATTTTTATTTGTTGAGTTGTTGAACCTTTTGATGTCCGAGTGTCTATGTTGAGAGGGAATGCAGTTCTCTTATTGTTATTTGTGAAATGATGTCATCCCACGAAATATCTAAACTAATGCAGGGTGGCCAAGTATCAGGAAGCGAATCCAGGTGTATACACAATTATTACATTTCCTTTCCTATTTGCCATTATGTTTGGAGATTGGGGTCATGGCATATGCTTGTTTCTTGCAACATTATACTTCATAATGAGGGAAAAGAAACTTTCCAATCAGGTAACCGCATCTCTCTTTTATGTTGATTCTGAAGAGTAATTTTTATTTTGACACATGCTTCCTATTGTTACGGTGACTTCTGCAACACTCTGTTGCATTTTGTGTCTTTGATACTTTTTGTCCTCTCAAATGATGTTACCCAATTAGTGCGACTTCTCTTGCATCCTCCTGTATTACTGGGATAGTGGGATATTCTCAGTGATGCATCGGTGAGTAGAACAGGAATATTTTAAAATGATCTTTATTTTCAACCTAGTTGTGGCTTGCTCGAATATGTTAAGATCTGGATTATAGACCTGTGGAGCTATGTTTTCAAGGCATTTATCTGGCTGAATGCATGGTTCTCCTACCACTTCTATACGCTTTTCTCAAGTGGTGTTAACCAATCAGTTAGGGGGCTTTGCTTTGAGATTCCTTGGTGAAGAAGTGTCATTGCAGTAAGCTAGATGTTTGATATATTTTCTGTTCAAACTAATGAGCTTTCCTTGGTTGAATTTGATTTGTGCCTGATTTCAGTTATGAAAATCTAGCCTTGTTGAAGCTTGATTATCTAGATTTGGCCAAGTTCAACGTTCATTAGCTTACAACATTCACTTTTTTATAGGATTTATGACTTTACTTCACTCAGGCTTTATTATACCTCATTCACTCTAAAACCTGAACTCAGTTACTCGCATCAAGCACAGGTATATGCCCAATCGTCTAATTTATCAAATGACCAGATCTAAGGAAATTGGGAGGAAAGTCAAATATTTGTATCATATATTTAATGTTTTTTAGAGTCAAATAATGTACTAACTCGTTTGAAGCAAAAGGAATATAATGACAAGTTTTATGTATAATTGTATAATAAATTTGAATTTTGGATATTCTTTTTGTTGTCTCCAGCCATACATGTTAGACACTTACCATGCGCATGTCTAAGTCTTTTGTGTGATACATCACACATTTTTGAAGAGTACATATAACGTAGTTTTAGGCATTTGTTTCTTTTAGGTGGGTGTCTCAAGAGCTGTTGTTATATAAACTATCCAGAGTCTGCGAAACCTTTTTTATGCTCTGGCTTCACTTGTTCAGCATTGGTCTCGAAGTTAAGCTTGAATTTGGCTTGTTCAGTCGGTGAATTAGTGAGAACTTAAGGTTGAGTTTGGGTTGTTTAATCAATAAGTGAGACTGAGCTTCCTCTTTATAAGATATGCTCAAGGTATTCTTGAGCAGAGAGAATATTGTGGTTGTTTTCAAGCTTGGTGATTTTGTCTAAAATTTGACTGGTTTACTATGTCAAACCAGGAACCAAAATGGAATGTTCTTCAGTAAGCAAGGTATGTGGTGGACCCAGAATTGTCATGATTTGATGATTGGTTTGTCAATTGTAAAACTTGTTGGGCAACTTCTTTTGAAATATCATGATTAATCAATGTAATAGAACCTTGTATGGCTGTTTAGGTTGGGTTGTTTCTTGAGTTGGACTCTTTGACTGTTGGATCCCATAGATTTTCTTTTTAAGTAACGCATCACACTGGAATAATATAAAAAGTATAGTCAGTACAAATAAACTCATCTTGCAGAAAATTCATGTCCCCATGGGAACGACGTGTGTGCGTGTTTCATCTGCCAAGATTTAAATAAATGTAAAAAGTACAGTCAGTTCAAATAAACACACCTTGCAGAATATTCAAGTCCCCATAGGATGACGTGTGTGCTTGGTAACTATTATGAGTAAAATGACGCTTGTTTTATGCTTTTACTTTCAATTTAGCATCTTATTAGGAAACATGTTACGATTAAGTTGTGTATTTTATATTAGTAACGCTACAACTTTGATATATCATTTGTTTTTATAAATAAAAATTCTTTTTATTTTTATTTTTTTTATTTTTGTTTTTATTTTTATTTTTTGGTACAAGATATTGACATAAAAAATTGAGTAAGTAAAATTTAGATATTCCATTTGCTGCACATTTCTTTAGATACTCATATGAGATGTGTAAATGTATAAAATTCAGTGTTGGTAATTATAATTATGCTTGTATCACTTTAGTAGCCAACTCGTATAGGTGTATTACTACTATTATTAGTAGTGCTACACCTTTGATAAAATTCTTTAAATAATTTCAAATAAGATATTCCATTTGCTGCACATATCTATAGATACTTGTATGATATGTATGAATGTCTAGAATTCCATGTTTATAAAATTATATAATTATGCTCTCAATCACCTTGGTATCCAGCTTGGTAGATGGCAATTATTTATAATGTTTTTTAGATAAGTAAAATTATTTTTTATTGCAAGATTATTTTTGTACAAGAGTTGGATATAGAATGCAAGAAAAATGGAAGAAGTCAAAATATGATATTCTATCTACCGAACATTTCTTTAGATGCTCATATGATAATGTTGACTTTAAGAGAACCAAAACAAGAGTAAAGTAGAAGAAGATAATGAAATAGGGAAGAAGGAAGACGAGGAGAGAAAAAGAGAGGGAGATGGGAAAAAAGTGAAAGAATGGAAGCTGACTTTCATCGTTCCACCACATTCTATTTATACTAAGAAGTTTTAGAAACTACACAAAAGCACCTTACATTATATAAGTAATAACAAATAAGCCCTCACAACACTCCCCTTGCAAATATATCTATACTCAGCTTGACTAACATATTTTGCAAGCAAGTCTTGCTCACACCCTTAGTTAAAACATTAGCAATCTGATCAAGTGTGTTGACGTGTGGACTATGAATCAACCCAAGCCAAAGCTTTTCCTTGATGAAGTGTCAATATGTGCTTTGTCCTATCATATTGAACTAGATTGTGGGCATTTGTCACAATACAAAAGAAGAAATATATATATAAAAGGAGAGAATTGTGTAAAGGCTAGAATGAGATAATCACTCATTCAAAGCTCTAGTATTTGTAGATAAGATGAGCACATGCTCATATTACAAGAAAGGAAATTAAATCAAATCTAAATCAAATCACAACATATTCTATGGCATATTCTATAGCATATTCTATAACATAATCAAAGCTCTATTAATACAGTAAGTCATTTCATAAATCGTGGGTATCATATCTGCTAACACTCCCCTTCAAGTTGGGGTGTGGATATTTGAAACGCCCAACTTGGATAATGCATTTTCAAACACAATCTTGCGAATGCCCTTTGTAAGAATACCTGTAAGCTGCTGAGAGCTTGTGACAAATGGAGTGTAAATCTGCTAACTAGCAATGATTTTCTCTCAGATGAAGTGCCGATCAACAAATAAAAAATGTCTCCTTAGACCATAAATAACAAAAAATGTCTCCTCAGACCATTTCCCTTCATACATATGTTTAAAACATGTAGATGGAAGAATCAACAATATCTCCTTAGACCATTCCCCTTCAAACATATGCTTAAACAATGTTGATGAAAGAATCAACAATGTCTCCTTAGACCATAAAAAGAAACAACTATGTCTCCTCAGACCATTTTTGAATAGGTGGTGCCAAACACGCAACGCCCTCATTGAGGTCGGACCACCCTTCCTACCCGACACCTCCTGAATGGGTGGTGAAGAACTCGCAATGCCCTTATTGTAATCAGACCACCCTGGCTATGATACCAAGAAGAAATATAAAAAAGGAGATAATTGTGTAAAGGCTAGAATGAGATAATCATTCATTCACAGCTCTAGTATTTATAGATAAAAAGAGCACATGCTCGTATTACAAGAAAGAAAATTAAATCAAATCACAACATATTCTATAGCATAGTCAAATCTCTGCTAACATGCTAAGTCATTCTATAAATTGTGGCTATCATATCTGCTAACAACAAACTTATTGACTTATGAATAGGATAACCCGACTCATCCAATGTTGATAGCAGCCTTGTTGTCACAATACAAATTAATTGACTCGCGAACAGGATAACCTGACTGATCCTATGCTAATAGCAACCTTGTTGTCACAATACAAATTCATTAACTCATGATAATCCAACTTATCCAACATAGTTCGTGGCCATAACAACTCAAAAGCTCCATGTGCCATGGACCTAAACTCAGCCTCTGTACTACATCTAGCTACTACAGATTGTTTTTTGCTTTGCCATGAAGCAAGATTACCTCCAAGAATTGTGGTAGATTGTCAATCTGTCACATATCCTACCCAATCAACATCTGTATGGCCTTCAACACGCAAGTGGCCATGACAGCCAAACAATATCCCTTTACTAGGTGAACCTTTGAGGTAGTGAAGAACATGATGAGCTGCCTCAAGATGAGGTGTACGTGGAGTATGCATAAATTGACTAATCACACTACCAACGTAGGTAATATCCGGGTGCGTGAGAGATACGTGAATCTGTCTCCCAACCAATGAAATCCACATTATCTAATGGGTTGCCATCCACATCATTAAGCATATGGTTTTGCTCAATAGAAAAATCAATGGGTCTAGCTCCAAGTGTACTAGTTTCAGCCAACAAATCTAATGCATACTTCCGTTGAGAAATGAACACCCCTTTCTTGAATCTGCACACCTCGATGCCAAGAAAGTATCTCAATGATCCGAGATCTTTAACCTTGAACTCTGTCCCTAAGAATGACTTCATTCGATGAATCTTCTGGATCATCTCCAGTGATAACAATATCATTAACATATACAATATGGGTAGTGGTGCAGTCTTGGTGCTTCGAGTATGATTTGCCTGACTCTGTGTGTACCCTACTCTCTTCACATCAGTACTGAACCTCTCAAACTAAACATGCGGCGACTGCTTTAACCCATACAAGGCTGTATTCAGCTTGCACACTAAATTTTGACAGTTGACAAGCTTAAACCTTGGTGGCATATTCATATACACCTCTTCCCTCCAAGTCACCATTAAGGAAAGCATTCTTTACATCCAACTGATATGAAGGCCAAGACAAATTAGCAGCCAAAGAAAGGACACGAATAGAATTAATTCATCTTGGCAACTGGAGCAAATGTTGCCTGATAATTAATTCGATAGGTCTGAGTGAAGCCCTTTGCAATTAACTGGGCTCCATATCTCTTAATTGTTCCATTTGCATAAAACTTTATTGTGCAGACCCAATTGTAACCTATTGGTTTCTTACCCTTAGGCAATGAAACAATATCCTAAGTACCATTCTTCTCAAGAGCCTTCATTTCCTCAAGCATGGCTTGTTTCCATGGAGTTTAACTGAGAACATCTGAAACATTAGAATGAACAAAAACAGACGAGATAGACAAAGTGAAAGCATGATATGTTGGAGATAAGGCATCATGGGATACAAACTGAAATACAAGATGTTTTGTACAACTATCAACACCCTTACAATAGGCAATAGGGACAATAAGATCAACAAGAATGCTATTGGGAAAAGAATCAGGAGTATTAATGTCAATTGAGGGATTACCCAGACCAAGAGAGACTTCTTGGTCCTAGGGTGAGTGAATGACTTATTTTTCCCTCCTAGTATAGACAATTGGGTGCTTTCCCTGCTGCAAATCATTAGTGTTAGGAGTAGACGTATGCATCTCAGTGAGAATCTCCCCCTGAATCATTCTCTCTGAGTAGAAGGCAGATTCTCTACCCAAATAGTAGTCTCTACTTGTAGAGAATCCTGAGCGGTGGAAAAAAAAAAAAAAACGAAGGTAACATCAATGGAGACAAACCGATGTTGAGTGGCAGGGTGATAACATTGATACCCTTTTGAGTGGCAGAGTATCCAAGAAAGACACACTGGATTGCCTTAGGGTCCATTTCGTCCTCGCAATGATGAATATAAACATGACAAACACAAGCACATACTTTCGGAGGGACAATAAACAAGGCAGCGTGATGGTTTAAGACATAGAAGGGGGATTGATGACCAAGAACCCTAGAAGGCATGTGATTGATAAGGTATGCAACTGTTAAAGTTGCATCAGCCCCAATAACCTCTAGGCACTCCCATCCTAACTACAAGAGAACGAGTCACTCCGTAATATGACGATATTTTCTTACAGCTACACCGTTCTGTTGTTGTGTAATAAAAAAAAGACAGAGGAGGTTTGATGGATAATTCCGTTATCAGCAAAAAAGGAGGCAACGCCACCATACATAAACTCTACATTATCAGATTGAAGGATTTTGAGAGGAGAACCAAACTGAGTACATACCATCTTATGAAAGGTTTTAAAGATGGAATGAACTTCATCTTTGGTAATCATAATTTAATGCCTAGTATAATGACTAAAGTCATCAATAAACACAACAAAGTAGTGAAACCCAAGTAATGAAGTAGTAGATTTAGGACCCCACATATCATAATGAACGAGTTGTAAAGGAGCTATACTTTCATTAATACTAGTAGGATAAGAAACACAACATTGTTTGGCAATAACACATGTTTCACAATTTAACTCAAAAGAGTCACCAGAAGCAAACTGGGGAAGCACATGCTTCGAAACAGGAATAGGTAAATGACAGCCTATTAGACCATTGCATCAACAGATCTTTATTAACATTATTATTCCTAACAGTAGATTGATTTGCAACATAATAAGAAGTTGGCCTTGGGTCCTACAAATATAAGCCATTGCCCTCACGTCCACTCCCAGTCCTCGTCCCCGTGCCTAAGTCGAAACACATAATGAGATGGAAAAAATGTTACACTACATTTCAGGCCTTTGTAATGTGACCAACACGAACGAGGTTATTGGTAAACTTTGGGACATGGAGAACAAAGGATAAGATAAGATTAGGAGAGGTAAAAATAGTGCTTGTCCCCGCAATGGAGAATGTACCATCAGCCACTCTAATCTTATACCTACTAAAACGTACGAAGAGAAATCAGATGCCATACTAGTCGTGTGATCAGTGGCTCTTGAATCAGTGATCCAGGGTAGCCCACTAGAGATAATATGGAAGCATGATGTACTGAATGAGAGGTACCCATTTGAACAAAGTTAGAGGTGGAAGTGGAGGCATTTTGAGCTAGCAGATGTCGACGAGCATTAACTTCAACCCCGGACAAAGAGCTCGGTGGCCCTGAGAAGGCATGACATGTAGTAGCAGTCTCGTGCATTCCAACATGTGCCATAGATGACCCCTTAAATGGTCCAGGTCTTGGCCCCTAACATTCGTATGAACAGGGTAGCTGGAGTAGGGCGACATTCCAACATGTTTCCCTTATGTGATGCGTACACTCATAGTGGTGACACCTCAACTTGCTCTTATCATCTTGCTTCCCTCTTTTTGGAGGATTGGGTTTGTTCCATTGTTGTGTGGCAAGAGCAAACCTTTCAAATAATGGTACTTCTGGCTCAAATCTAGTATATACAGGTGCAAACATGACCTTCATTCTACTGTCCTCAATCTAGATATACGAAAACACCTCTCTAACAAAAGCAGGGGCTGGATAACTGCCTAACACTTCTACACTGACATGCTCCTATTTTGGATGCAGACCACCCAAGAACTCACGGATTCGATTCTTTCTACCATAACCTAAAATGCTTTAACATTAGCTCCACACACATGTATGTAGTGTTGGTACTGACTTAATCTTTCCCATTTACCACTTAGAGTGTGGTAATATGTAGCAAGAGTTGGGTCTTCCTGCTTGAATCTTGAAATCGCTTGTTGAAGCTCATACGGTTATGCAAAATTACCAACCGAGGAATACATCTCTTCCACAGCATCCTATAGCTTTTTAGCTATTTTCACAAACAGAAACCCATTGTTGATCTATGGTTGCATTGACTACAACAACCATGTCATAATTAGTGCATTATTTGCACTCTACTCTTTGAATTTAGGATCACTATTGGGGGGATACATGGTAGTCCCTTCGATATGGTCGATCATCCTACGATTAGTGATATGCATACGAGCAGATTGAACCCCATATAGTTTGTCTCATCTAACCTAACAGTTATTATACAAAGGCTTGGATGGTGATCACTACTACCTCCCAACAATGGAGTCACACTAGAAGAAGACCCAACTACTTTTGATGTCACCTCTAAGCCATATATTTTATCAATTAGTTTCTGGGTATACACTCAACGACAACAAATGTGTAGACCTCTCTAAAACACAAACAACTACAACTACAACTAAAGAGATTACAGTCTTAAGAGATGCATTAAAAAATGACCACACAGTCACCACACAACCCTAGAAAGCAACAAAGTAGACTATACCATAATCGCGAACGACTAAGGAAAAACTGCAATTGCAGAACCACGTAAACACGGATATAATCACTAATCGCGACTGTGATTGATCAAAAATAGGTTTCCCGGGGCCTCACCTTAAGCCCCGAGCAGGGGCGCGGCTCATGCTACCTTTGCAACCCCCAGCCAACTTAGCGTGGAGTTGGATCCGCGGTACATGTGGACAGTGTTAATAAAGGTGTGCCTAGGTGCGAGTCACACAGGCACAAGTTTAGCGCCTGTTAGTAGCACAGGCGCATCGACCTTCATTAGGCACGTGCCTGGGCTGCGCTCATGTTTTTTTTATCGTGCCTGACCTCTTTTTGTCCTTTTACGTGATTTTTATGTTTTGTGAGCCAAAAAGGATCATTTTTTCGTGAGCCAAAAAGGAACTTTTGGCAACTTCTGAAACAAAAGAATTAAATAAATAAAGAAACTCAAGAGTCAAATAAAGGCAAGGGTCAAATATAATAGAGATGGGACTGTATAACAATTGATGTTGAAAGTAGCACTCCCTATATAGGAAAACCATATTTGAATTATCTACTTATATTGGCAATTTAATTACCTTCTATAATTTTCAGCTTATATATTTTTTTTCTTAAATACTATGTTGCAATTTATACATTTTTGTGTTCTATATGTAACTTTATCTGATTTTGCCTACAACAGAAGCTTGGGGACATCATGCAGATGACTTTTGGTGGTCGTTATGTTATTATGATGATGGCAATATTTTCAATATACACAGGATTGATATATAATGAATTTTTTTCTGTCCCGTTTGAACTATTTGGGCCATCAGCCTATGAATGCCGTGATTCTTCATGCAGGTATTGGAAAAGTACTTTATGTACTCGTCTTTGGTCCATTACTCACAACCTTTAAACTTGCTTTGTTGCAGGGATGCTTCTACAGTGGGGTTGATTAAGGTGCATGCCACTTATCCATTTGGTGTGGATCCTAAGTGGCATGGTACCCGCAGTGAGTTACCATTCCTTAATTCATTGAAGATGAAGATGTCAATCCTTCTAGGAGTAGCGCAGATGAACCTTGGAATCATTTTGAGCTATTTTAATGCAAAATTCTTTGGAAATAACCTAAATATCTGGTAAGCTAGACCCCTAATTGGATTATTACATGCATACTTGCATGTGTAGATCACACCCTTTTCATAGAATAGTCAACAAAATTGTGATTCTACAGCGGGGTTAATTGTTCTTGTACCTTTCTAATTATCATTACTGATGCCTGTTATATAATGGAAAGATATATATATTTTTTTAAATGGAAGCAAGTGAAAAAGCGAATATTTTTTTGTCCCCAAATATAATTACATTCACCTTATAAAGTGTATCACTCTGTATAATCAGCATCTTATGCATTGCTTCAGGTACCAATTTGTTCCCCAGATGATATTTTTGAACAGTTTGTTTGGATACCTTTCACTCCTCATTATTGTGAAATGGTGCGCCGGTTCTAAAGCTGATCTGTATCATGTAATGATATACATGTTCCTAAGTCCCACTGATGATTTGGGCGAGAATCAGCTTTTCAATGGACAGAAATTCGTTCAGGTTTTATAATTCTTATTTTCTAAGGAAATATTTTTATGTTATACAAAAAAAAAGAAATCTGTGTGTTGTACAAGAATTTGTCAGTAATTCGAACATTTTCTCTGTTTCACTGTCAGATTGTGTTACTATTACTAGCACTTGTTGCCGTACCATGGATGCTGTTTCCAAAGCCATTTCTTTTGAAGAAGCAGCACGAGGAAGTACGACGAAACTCTTATGGTTGTTAAATTTATTTATTTTTTTAATTTTCCCAGACACTTAATTGCCATTTCTCTTTGCTCTCTCTCTCTCTCTACCATGTTGATCATCATGCTTTCTCAGAGGCACCAAGGGCAATCCTACACACCCCTTTACAGCACTGACGACACCGCTGAATTGGAGTCGCATCATGATTCCCATGGCCATGAGGAATTTGAGTTCAGTGAAATATTTGTACATCAACTTATACATACCATAGAGTTCGTACTTGGAGCAGTCTCTAATACGGCTTCATACCTACGTTTATGGGCTCTCAGGTATGCAGCTAGCAACTTCAAGAGGAAGGAATGGAACTTCCGTGTTTTATAACTTTTGATTTGGCATTTATTTTTTGTTAAGACAAGAAGCTACCTCGACTTATTTTATTCGTTTGAAGCAGAATTGGGATAATCTACCTCTGACATGACCTTGTGAACCCCCAGGGTGGATTCTATTTCTTGAAGTGAAATTTTTGACGTTTTGATCCATCAAATTGAAATGACTTACTGAAAATTTGTGATAGCAGAAAATATATGTTAGTGGTTGGTCATGATCCGACCCATGCAGGCTCTTATATACATTTTCCTTCCATTTTGTACATACGTTAGATCGCACGATATTCTCTCCTGTTCTTGCTAGTAAATAATGATTGCTTATTCAGTTGGTTTTGTTTTGTCCAGTCTTGCACATTCGGAGTTGTCTAGTGTATTTTATGAAAAGGTCCTGCTTCTTGCCTGGGGGTATGTTGATTTTATTTATTTAATATAATGTAATGGAAATGACTTAATATCTTAATAAAGTGTTTTAACAACTGTTGTGTGTGACCGCAGGTTCAACAATGTGATCATCCTTATTATTGGTGTAATTGTATTTATTTTTGCCACGGTTGGTGTTCTGCTAGTGATGGAAACCCTAAGTGCTTTCCTACATGCCTTGCGGCTTCACTGGGTGGAGTTCCAGAATAAGTTCTATGAGGGAGATGGTTACAAGTTCTACCCGTTCTCATTTGCATTAGTTGGTGGTGATGAGGACTGATATAACTTTTGAAGCTTGATTACAGACTATAGATATTTTAAGAAAATTGGTCATATTGGATTGTGTGTACTGAAGTATGGATCTATTCAAATCTTTTAAATGAACAAGAGACTTTACGAAATGGCCTTCCCCCAATATACTCCTTCACAGTTTCATGATGTTAATAGCTGTGGGATTAAGTGCCAGACAAGCTGCCAATGGTCATCTTCCAATGTTGGTTGTTGAGTTTGGTTCTCAACGAGTGTTTTCCGTTGTTTGAAGTAGAAAAACAACACTGTTACACGGATGCAGGTGCCATGAATCTGATACACGGATCTTCTGAATGCCGAACGAGTCTAACTGTTTGATTTTTTTTTTTTTCCCCCTTTTTTTTATTTGGTTAAATTGTACCATTCCCAATGCTATGGTCATTGTTAAGGTGGTTTGTTATCTTTTACATTTTGTAATATTCTGTTCTTTTATATTCTTCATTGACTTGGGTTTTAAGGTGTTGGAGGAATGTCTTTTCTAATTCTAGGATGGTTGGGACTTGGGTTTTAAGGTGTTGGAGTTCTTTGCCAACGTCTAAATGAGGGTTATCTTGAATATACGAGATAGGTACTTTGAATTCACAAAATGAGGTATCTTGAATTTACAAAAAAAAAAAAAAAAAAAAAAATTACAAATCAATTTGAAATATTATTGATAAAATTGATTGAATATGTTTTTTTGTCTGTTGGCATTACATATAAAACATGAAAACTAATTTTTAAGGAAAGTAAAAAAATATAAAAATTTTATCTAAAACTAAAATCTCTCTAAAAATTATAAAATAAAAATAAATAAAAAAATTAATTAAAAAAAATACTAAAATCTGTCTTACATCATTTTCATAAAATTGATTGAATATGTTTTTTTGTCTGTTGGCATTACATATAAAACATGAAAACTAATTTTTAAGGAAAGTAAAAAAATATAAAAATTTTATCTAAAACTAAAATCTCTCTAAAAATTATAAAATAAAAATAAATAAAAAATTAATTAAAAAAAATACTAAAATCTGTCTTACATCATTTTCATATCCTTATCTATTTATGTTATAGTGTTGGCACCCATTTTGGCACAATGATTGGCTAGTGATGCGGAGGATATTTGACAGGTGGAATAAATTATGTGAAGTTGCATGCAAAGGTGGTATGGATAGAGATATTCAAATTAATTGTTAGATAAGGATTATAATGCCAACTGTTATCTTTGAGCTAGTTTAAATTGGATATGTAGTTGGTTATTTTATAGAGTCATGATGTAATTAGAGTGCTTAAGCATAGGAGTTGTTAGGTTACGTTCTTCTATAAATAAGTGTAGAAGCATTCTTTGTAAGGGTCCAGCATCCTCAGAATCTTTATTTTAATGTAATTATGCTTTCTCAAATTTTCCCTCTCAAATTCAACTTTCCTTCTTTAGCTATCTTGTTATTCTTAGACTTTTTTTTCTCTTAATCTTCTTTTTTGTCTCTCACTCTCTCTCTCTTCTATATCTCTATTTACTTTTTACTCCTTTTCTTATTTTGTTCTCACGTTCATTACAATTTACTTTCTTATTAAAAGTCTTGTTTGTCAAGGCAGTTTTGAACTTACATGAGAGTTGATGTTTTCTCTCTCATACAATCGTCTGATCCGTAATTTTATTGCAAAAGAGAACCGGTTTGACCCAATCTTTTCATCTTTGAACCAAGTTATTGGTTCTAGCATGCCCACGTTACCAAATTTTTAAATTGGCGAAGCCCGCTAATTTTAGGGTCAACATTCTTGGCACGCCTAGTGAGACCCACTGGTTGAGTGAGTTGTAATGCCTCTTAGGCCAAAGAATTCAAAGGTTGTTGTCACAACAAAAGATGATGTCGAAGATGAGGACCAGCTGATCGTCCCAGGTGGATCAAACGTGGCTGAATCGGCTTTGCCATCCGACGTTCTTTTAGCATAGATGTTTGAGGCCCCAACAAGCACAGATTAGTCAAAATAGTAATAAAATGCAAACCCAAATGGAAGAAGTTAATCAAAAAATGGAAGCAATGATGGCTCAGATATCGGCTACCTAAAGTTGTTATAATCAAGCTGAAAGCTCGGCAGCTTATGAATCAATTCTTCAACGTATGTCTTTGCTGTTAATGAACATTCCTCAAGGGCAATAGACAACAGCGGCAAGACAAACCCAACCGAATGTAACTGTTGGTATACCCAATGGTAACCTGCCGATAATAATAGAAACACTGGCGATTCCGACTGTTCCAATATATTAACCATAGGTAATACACCAGTAGAATCAGAATTTACAATGACCGCCGGTAGTGTCGATTTTGCCTCAGAGGGAACCTCAAGAGCCAGGGGGCAATCCGAATCGTTGGAGGAATAATCAACATGTACCACCAGCAGCTGCCGTGGGGCATGTGATTGCGAACCTACAACGAGAATGGGTTAATCTATACGCTTCACCTCAGCCTACTGATCAACCAGCTTATAATGTAAGAATCGATAGTGCTCAGATTTTAGCTCTAATCTAGGCTGAGGTAGCTCAAGGGCGGAGGCGTCCTCGGCCGGTATATTGAAAACCTTATCCTGATCACGTTGATGCTTATGATTTCCCCAGAAATTATCGTTATCCTTATTTTTCCATGTACAGTGGTGAGGAAAATTAATCTACAGTGCTACATATCGCTAGCAATGTGGAGAAACAGGTCCTAATACTTGGCTAAAGATGAGATTATTTTCTAGTTCTCTTGCTGGTGCGGCATTTGAATGGTATAGAAATTTACTGGCTAATTCTTTTCAATCATGTGAAGAAATAGAAGAGGCGTTTCACGTCCAATTTTACTGAACAGAGTCAAAAACGACATTAGCAGATATCTCTAGGCTATCCCAATCGTTAAGCGAATCAATTGAGACTTTTGTTGCCAGATTCCAAAGGGCTATGCTCAAGTGTCGAGTGAATTTGCCTGAACAGGAATACATAAAACTGGCTTTGAATGGGTTGGACACCACACATCGCAAAAGGTTTGATGGGGTTGAGTTTCATGATCTTTTTGATTTAGCAGATAGAGCTACTCGTTATGAAGAAATACTTAAAGAGGAGAAGGAAAGGAAGAATTCCTCCAAGGGTACTTATTATAAAGACCCTAATTATAAAGTTTTCTTGGCTGAAGTTGATGATGAGCTGGAAGTCGATGTTGCTTAGATTAACATCAAGAAACCATACATATGTGAAGCTTTGACTAAGCTTAAGTCAACCACAGGGCGCAATGCGACTTCAACATCAGTAGCAAAGAAAGGAATAGTCGATATGGGGAAAGTATGTTCTTTTGACTTAGCAAAAACAGAGCAAATTTTTTATCACTTGATGGCCGATAAGATGATTAATTTACCCAAAGGGCATAAGATCCCATCGGCAGGAGACATGAAAGGAAAATAGTATTGTAAGTATCATAACTCATGGAACCATGCTAATAATGATTGTACTGTACTCCAAGGTGTTTTGCAGAAAACTATTGATGAGGGTACGTTAAAGTTCCCGGAAAAAGCCACAGAAGAAATGAAGGTAGACACCAATCCATTTCCTACAATTGCCTCCACAAACATAATTACTCTAGCCAAGCGAGAAAATCGGCAGGGAGAATTTAAAAAGAATTCAGGTGAGTCCTCCTCCATCATGACACCAAAAAAGGTAGCAGAACTGCAAAGGCAGTTAAGAGAAGCCCAATTGGCGTTAATAGACAATGGTTTTTGCCCAAGTTGTAAAGGTCATAAAAGAACCTAAGAAGAACAAACAATACACTAGCCGGTGAAAAGAGGGATCCTCAAACGACTTATGTTCCCAAGTAAGTCTAGTAGAGAACTTCGGCAGGATAATACTAGAGGATGTCACTTAATGACAGATAATCAGGATCGGCAAGAACATACAGTTGGCCGATTCCATTCACAAGATCGTTAGCCGAGTTTTAAACGACGTGCCCTAATCCAACCTGAAATCTAGGTACAGAAAAGGACAGACTCACATAGAGTAAGGGCAGTAAGGCCAAGGATAAGTAAGGCAGACAAATGGACCCAAGTTAATCACCCAAAATTTCCTAAGGTTTAACAACATTCAAATGGGGGTCTTACTCGATCTTAGAAAAGGAGAGAACAAAGAAGAAAAGCTGAGGAAAGAAGGAAAGATGAGAAGACAAGTCAAGAAAAGCCTATCGAGAAGGAGATGGTTAATGTTTCAGAAGGTGCTGGACAGCCAGCTAAGGTGGAAGAATACCAACCTAAGTGGCCTAGATGCAAAAAATGAGTTTAAAATACAGTTTGGTAGCTTCCCATATGAAATGTCCTATAAATGGCTTTTGTGTTACCGGCAATATTCCAGGCTCCCTCTATGTCACCTACTGATATTGACATAAAAGAGGAAGGAGAAGAAGTGGATAGCATAAAGGAGGAGAAAACGTGGCCGATTAAAAGGTTATATGTAAAAGTATGGGTAGAAGGGCAACCTATCAACTGAGTCTTGGTAAATAATGGCTCGGTTCTCAATGTTATTCCAAGTACTACATTGAAGAAGATAGGTAAAAGCATGGAAGATGTTATCCCTACTGATATGGCAATTTGCGGATTTAACGAAAGCTCAACCAGCATTAAAGGAATCCTTCCTTTAGAGGTCGAGGTTGGAGGAAGAACACCCTTTATGACATTTTTCATTGTCAAGTCTATGGCTTCATATAACTTATTACTAGGCCATGATTGGATTCATCTGAATATGTGCATCCCATCTTCATTACACCAGACGCTGATCTTCTAGGATGGAGACAAAGTCAAAATAGTAAATGCCGATATAATAAGCCATTTGTAACAAAAGTTTATTCGGTATACGCTATTTTATACGATGAAGAATGTTACCCAATTAATGACTCTAGGGGGGGGGGGGGGGTAAATAGAGTTTTGGCAAACAATGGTCAATTTTTGAATTCAAATAATATGTAAGTACTAAGCTAATTTTCTCAATAATTTTCTCAACAATTATTCAATGAAGAAAACAGAGTTTAAGCCATAACTAATATCATTTTGTCAAGTGATTTTCATGCTGAACTTTAAGCAGTAAATATAAGAGATAAAGAAAGAGAGAGAGATTGTAATCAAATACTGAGCGATTTTAGCGAGGTTCGGAAACTCCTGCTCCTCGGCTCAAGACCTCTCTTGAGACTTCCTAATCCACTATGGCTCCTCCTTACGGGTGGAGAGCAAACCTTTTACAAGAAGCACATCATTGCTTCAATTTGTTAAGAGAAACACCTTCTCCTAGTCTTCCTTGGGCCACACCAGCCCTTACAAAGTTTGAAGAAGTGAAATACAGTACAAGATAATCTCTCACAGATTTGTAGTATAAATTTCAGCTCACTCTAGAGAATGTATGAATAGATTGAAGCTCAATACTCTAT